ATATATATATATATATAAAAATCTTTCACAAAATTATTGAAATACGAACTGCGTAGGAATATTTTACAAACATGCAAATGCAACTTTTCAATTAACACAACTCAAAAAACTATTTCTTAAAAACTCACTAAACTATACATGAATATCTTTATGAGTTTTTGAAAGGAAGACATAATATAAACATGTAGCCAAAATTATTATTGCATTATATATGTATAATATAAATAAGAAAAATGTGTTATTATTAAAATGCTTAACTAGATAAACAAAGAAAATAAATGCCAATGAGACTTCTGTGAGGGCCGAGGGTCTTGTTGTCGTGCATGATGCATGGAAAAATGATCAAGACGTGTATGTACACGTCGACAAAAATGGTGAACATTCGGTACTCAATTCTCATGAATTTCACTTGTACAACGGATTAGCTCTTGCATGGACAAAATTATGGCGTAATATCACTTGTGGTAAACCATGTTCATGTAACAACCATATTTTAACTTATTAAATTGAACTTTAATATTAAAGCCACATTTAATTCATAAAATCAATCTTAATACTGTTTTCCCATGCAGGTACATACTAGTTGAAGAGGATAAGAAAACCAAAAAACCTGGAATACTTTCAACATGAGTTGGAGCTCGAAAACTTTCTCTAGGACGTTTGTGACTTTGACTGACATGAAGGTCTGATGGGCTGTTGTCCATGAATCGCAAAAGATCCTAGAGCAAAAAATAAGAACCTAGGTCAGGAACATAATTACTATACATGTGTGTGCAAATATATGTTGATTCACATGAAAAATGACTTTCAAGAGTATATGACTTATTGTTTTCTCGAACAAAACAAATAACTCGATTATATAAATGTTCAATGCAGAGGTTGCAACACATTGAAACCTCATTTACCTCAAGTAAGGTCTCTGGTTGAACCATTCCACGCCAAGAATGCATTTTTTGACCCGTTACTGGATCAATTACGAGAACAACAGGGATAGAATCTAACTTATAGTAAGTACACACCTTGCTGCCCTCTTCTGTGTCATCATATACCTACAGCAGATAGAATGAATAGAGCAGTCAACATGAAATGCAACTCATATGGGGAGCAAATTTAATAGTGTGGCAACGAAGAAATGGTGTCTTGCACAAAAGCTTTGGAGAAAACTCAATTTTAGCATTCATATCAGTGAAACTACCTTTTCCTTTGAAATATAACAGAAGTTATTATGCAGAGAAGGTTGTTAACACATGGATGAGACATCACCACCAAAAAGATTAATGTACCTGTACAACTACACACTACAACAGAATATTGCCTCTGGACACATTGAGCTCAAAGCCTCAGACGAATGAGTAAAATAATCACCCCTATATATAATTGCAGAATGCGCTGAGCTTAAATGGCAGCCTCGCATACTTCGGTATCCTACTTGGCGAAAAAACATGCTTCGTAGATAGGTTTGAATAAAAAATAATATTATTTTAAATCAATAATTTTAGGTTCGGACATTCCAAAAACATTGAAAAACTAACTTGGTAATTCCGTAATAGTTTTACTAATATAACCCTTAAGTTGTATTAAAATATTTGGTAATAGTATTGATTTGCTAATATAACTTTGATTTGTTTTTGGAAACTCTCAATCGACTCATTAATTTCCATAAAACCTCAAATTAGCCTAATATATATATATATATATATATATATATATATATATATATATTTAATTTTAAACAATTTTTGTTGTTATTGTTATTTAATTTTAAAAATAATTTTCTTAACAATTACCCGTGTATTATACGGGGATTGTATTAGTTACATTAATAGACCCATAATGACACCTTACATATTAGTTCTAGGCCAGATAATAATTTCCTCATTGCTTACAAGCATACGTGTAAAATTTTTCCAACCCTTTTCAATTATTTTAGAGCTCAGCTACCCATGTTTCTTCGCAATTATGGTTAATTTTTCTTATAATAACCAATGATGATGCATAAAAAATGGCACTTGTCACAGTGCAGTCCATAAAATAAATAGGAACCATCAGAGAACCTCTTTCAGTTGAACCAGAGTCCATCCACAATTTATATTTGCGCAGTTATGGATACTTCGTTGAAGAAATATTATGTATTAAAGAACAAATAAGTCAGTGCAGTTGAACTCTCAAGACAGCTAGAAAATAGCTCCACATCTGTGTTTCAAATTTACATGGTAAGTTCTGTAAACATGTATTAATTGCAAGACAGTTGCTTATGAAGATCAAAAGAAAACAGATCTTATTTAAATAGAAAAGAAGTTAAAAAAAATAAAAATAATAGCTACATGAAAGCAAAATAGCAATGATTAACAAAGCACCATGAAATCCAAACCAAATACGAATAGCAACAGATTATACAAACCTGCCAGAAGATAAAGTTCGTCTTGATGGTTTGAGCAGCAGCTTCATTCGCCCAGGTGTCACGGTTAAGCTTCAAAGCAGAAAATATATCGAGGGTGTGTCAAGGCATGCAAACAAAATGCATTTTCCAAACTATATCATATTACACACACACACACAGAGAGAGAGGGAGAGAGGGGGAGAGAGAGAGAGAGAGAGAGAGAGAGAGAGAGAGAGAGAGAGAGAGAAGGGGGAGGGGGTGGAGATCAAAACCCATGTACCATGTGCGAGCTAAATTCTCTGGTAGACTGTACATTTACTAGAAGCCACTTGTTCTGCATCCTTGCATTATCTTTTGCCTGTAAAAAGTTATAGCTTCATATCACGAGTAACCCATGGCATACACGAAACAGAGAAGTTAAAAATGGTGCAGGATTTCCTGTAAACCAATTCCGCAGCAGAATAACCAAATGTGTTCTTTGATTCCATGATCAAAGTACAGTAGTTTTTTTGGGGTAATAATCTCACATATGGAGAAACCTCCTTGAAGTTCAGCGCCAAACAAATGCAATATCATGTTAGTGTTAAGTATATCAAGGCCCAGGTCTATAAGGGCCACGAAGAACTTTAAATATATGGTCTTTCATATCAAAGGAAGATATCAACTCAGAAAACCCTAGGTTTGTAACAATTAGAACTAATGAGTCCACATGTAAGATAATGAATGGAAAGGGAGGTCAATGAAGATTGCAAAAGAAAATAAGGTTGTTACGCATCTATGTCTTGAAGTGCCATCTTTTAGATTTTGCATCAGAACCCTAATATGTTTTATTTAAGTAATAGTGTTTAGGTTTCTTAAGGTATCAAGAAAAAGGATAGAGGAACTTTGGCTTAGGCAAGAGAAATCCTGATCGGCGTTATCGCTTGGAGCAGGCTCGCCTGCAATTGTTTGTGTTTCCTTCTCGTATCATTTTTAATAATTAATGATAAATTTCAGCAATGAATTTCTTCACTCAATTCATCTTACTATATATGCTGCAAATCATAGTTATTAGTTATCTTTTCCAAGCAATGCCTAAGTAAGTTCATTTCTAATGCCACAGTGAACAAGAGGAGAAAAAGGAAAAGGAAAAGAAAAAGACAACAAACTGAAGTTTGTCATATGCACTGAGAGCAGATCTAGTATTGTGCAAGAAACATGACAACTTCCAATGCATAACAGAGCTCCCGCACAAAGCTAGGAAAAGGAAACTTGCAGCAATTCTGCAGTAAATGCCCCGCCAAAATTCCGAGTTATAACTTTGTATACAGAGTTTCTTAAAGCATCATTAAGAGAATAAACCTTGTACCTTTTCAAAAGGTCCATGGAACATCAAAGCAAATGGAGGCCGATATAAAGATGCAAGATTATCCTGAGTCTTATCCACTGCAGAAGAAGAGGAACCCTTTTCTGCTTCCCAGACACCGGGATACTTCATTTCCTCCTCAAAATTGCGAAACGGAACAACGGAATGAGTTACATAGGATGAATCTCCCGCTCTTGGTACTCCACTGGATGCGAACAAACATGATTAGCAGAAACATGACAACAAAGAAAAAGACAATAAAATTTGGCCACACAAGCAAAAAGCTTCAAGAAGAGATGGTTTGATGAAAATGAAATAAAACAAAACAATAGGACTTCACTAAGAAAAAAAACATAGGGGGTCAGATATTTAGCAATAAGCAAGCCAACATTCGCTACCATAAGTAGCATAAATGCGAGCATCATGTTTGTAGAGGACAAGAAAATACAAATTACCCAAAATGAATTGGATTATCATAGAGAACTTCCCGTTTCACAGGTAAAGGCGCCCGTACATCATCTCCACCATCTTGTCCTACCAATTCCTTTTCCAGACCACTGCATTTAAAAAATATGCATATTTGAGTAAGATATTTGAAACAAAGGAAAGATACGGTCAAACATTCTTATGTTTCTCCAAAACATGCCTTATGTCTGAATCGTTGAGGAGCTGATCACTTGCCACGGCTGGAGAATGTACAGATGCTGAAGTGAACCCACCTTCATTTCCTACATAGAAAAGTTGAATAGCTTCCTCAAGCTTCCAGCCAGTGGCCTGCGTCGCAAGAATTTTGAAGATAACATTTTGTGCAAAAAAGAAGTTAAAGTCTCAACCATGACAGAAGCAAGTTTGCAGAGATATTCAATGCTTTCAAACCATTTATTATAATAAGGACGTCGCTTGGTCAAAGTGAACTATAATCAGCAAAGGACCATCTCAAACTTCTGTTTCTAACATGTAAAGGATCACTATGAAAATTGAAAATTCTTATGATAGGCGGCATGATAATCATAATAGATTAGTACACAAACGCCACAAACTTAACCAGAACCTTCAGAATTAGATAACTTGTTCAAACCACACAAAGCCAAAATAGATGATTTCCAACTCCGAATTGCGGAGGCCAAAAATTTGCACCAAATATAACCCATTGCTTCTTAATGACTAGTGGTGCTGGTAACAATTTGTAGTTTCTCATGGTCAGGTAAAACTCCATGTAACAATTCTCTTTACTAGTCAACTTCAACATAACTCAAGGCTCACGCAAATGTAAGAAACAAAGCACCACAGAATTCAACAGTAGCTCTTCTGTTCTTCTGTATAGAATGAGATCGCTCTATTTCACTTACTTATTTTCTAATCCTGATCTTCTCTTCTTACCAAACTCCAGTGGTGTGAATCTGTTCTTGTTTCACCCTTTCCGAATTCTAGCATGAACCCACTTCAGCTGTCTTCTCCTTTTCTTCTCTACATATCTTTCCCTTCAAAAAACTCTAAAAACTCTATAATGATTATTTTGATTTTTAGCTTATATCATCTTTGTAATGTGTACCAAGATAGTATTTGTACTATCGCCAACATTGGACACTATCATTGCTTCTTTCATCCTCGTCTTCCCTTCTTTACGTTGAAAAGCAGAGAAGTGGTGAATCTTATCTCTTTATGGACGCACGAGAGGACGGATAATGAAAAGCAGTAAAGGAAATGGTGGATAATATTATGAATGGGGGGTGACAACAATGAATCGGCTGGGCAGGCTAGGCCCCCTAAGAACAACAGTATGGTTGATTTAGAAATTATAACATTAGCTTTTTAATACAATTCATCTTTCACAGTTTCCCCTTATTTTTTCATCTACTGATGTTAAGTGAATGTAATCCATGAAGATGCACAAAATAAAAGTAAAAAGGAAAAATCCTCCTCCTAATGCTCTCTTGTCTTTTCCTGTTTCCTTTATTTTTCTTTTTCTTTTTCCCTTCTCTACCACTGTAAGTCGATTGGAGATATGCGGTTCCTCACCAAACTTGTTCATCCATAAATATCTTAGCATTGCATTTCATTTTTTTCCTAGATAAATAGATATGATCGGTTGCTATGCAAACAGGTTGAGTCAGCGTGCAAAACACAAACCTAAATGCTCACACCCAGTTCTTTTATAAGAAACACACTAGTATATCTTGTTCCCTGTTAACATCATTACTTTTTTTTTTGTTTTTTTTTTTGTTCAAAGAAAAAGCACCTTAATTAATAACTCAGACAAAGATAAACTATGTTTTACCATGCTGTGCTCTCAATAAGGTGACTAGGAGTATAATGACTAAGAGCACAGAAACAAATAAGTTTTATAACCAAGCGTCAATTATTATACACAAATCAACCTAATGACTTATAAAAAAATAGAGTGGATGTAACACATGGAATTAGCAGCAGCAGTTTGCAACTGGTAGCAAGAGCAATAATTGATAAACAATACAGCGATTCAGCTCGCTAATTACCCCAAACATCACAGTAATTACACCCACTACGTACACATTGGGTATCAATTACTAAGTACAATAGGACGTTAACCCCATCCAAAGTCAGCTCAATTGATTAGCTAAAATCAAAACAAAAACGATCGAAAATTAAGATCTTTACGGCACAAGAACTATAAATTCGCGGTCTAACATAGAGCAGCTCTCAAAAGAATTAATTTTATTTTCCAGGCGTGTGACACCAAACAAAAACTCCAGATTACCTGAAGGAACTGACGGGCGGTATCGGCCGTTTGGCCGACTGCGATTTCCATAAAGGTCGCCACCATGTTCTGCTGATCCGTAGCCGACGACAGACCCTCCATTTATGTAATTTATCGTCTGGGAGATTGATATTTCTCCTGGGTTTTCAGAATTATGGAGGTCGGTAAGATATTGGGGCGCTGGATTGAGGCACTACGCCTATATTGTCATTGATGGGCGATAGGGTGAATGAAAAGTCGGAAAGGCAAGAATGTATGACGTGCGTTCAAAGAGAAAGTTAAGTATAAAATAATATGTCTTTGATGTACCACTTGGTTTACATCTAATAGGTCTATGTACTTAAAAGTGAGTATGTGATATTTTTTGTAAATAAGAAGTGCGATCAAACCAGACAATGAAAGAAACACATTCTAGACCATTAGATCTATCACATCGATGACTATGATCAAGTCAAATTTTGGTAATCATTAATGACAGTATGATATATTAACATACACATTCTTGTCAAATGAATATATTTGACCAATTATTAAAGGTATTACGGTCATTATAAATGTCCAACTCACATATTGGACCCACCATAAAACACCAACCCTAAATTCTCTCTCTCAAACATTCACAAAAAATACACACACTAGATCTATATCTCTCTCTTTCTCTGCACGCACATATTCAGTATACACACACAAACACACACTGAGGATCCACCACCACCACCTGCAGCCGCAGACCCCGCCCTCCATCGCCAACTGCCGTCAACCGCCGCCCGTCGACACAACCTCGCCAATCTCGTCGCCCCCTGTTCGTCTCAAATCCCCGTCGCCACCGACAGCACAGATCACCGCCGCCTCTGTCAACACTCGCCGTCAGTCAACCACAAATGCAGGTCTATCGGCCATGAATTTTCCGTCCCCACACAACTGACGTCATCCACCACAAACTGTCGTCGTGCTTCCTCTTTTCGGCAACCGAACTGAACGCGACAAGAGGCTCCCGTGTAGAATCCGACGTGTCGTCTGTCGTCCACATCTCAGTTGCATCTTGTGCGACGTCGCGCCTCTGGCCGGTGATACTAGTTATATGACGTTGCATCTCGACGTCGCCGAAAATTTAAGGAGATCGGACAAAAAATTCGAATGACAGTGGTG